CACCGCAGCTACGAATGCCTGCAAAGACCAGACCCGGGTGGTCAACCACTTTGGACCCCAGAATGAAGGCATGCAGATCGGCGTCAATCATGGAGCGATCAGTGGCATCACGTTTGGTAAAAAGTAGTTGGTTCGATAGTTATGTATTGCTTCCACACACATAATCTCTCTTACTGATACCAGTGGCTTCTGTCAGCGTGTTCGGGCTCGTGGCTCTTCTCTTGTTTCAGATGAGCCCGACCCCCGAATGTCGGCGGGCCACCCTGCTTCTCATATTCAAGTTCTATCTGTGATGCCTGCCAGTCGTTGGCACCGATGAAGTGATGTACTACTGAATATAAGTTGCTAGTCGCGTGCGAAGGCTCGAAGAGCTTGGTGGCCAGTGACGTAGTTAAGGCTTGGGGTTGGGGACAGGTGTCGTGGATGGGAGGTCTGACCGATTAATAAGCGGAATTCGACAATCGCCGTAACGTGGTACCTTGACCTTTGCATTTCCCACCAAGTAGGAAAAGCAGTTCGGAACCACGTCAAGGCATCTGTGTATGAGGATTGTTCCCCCCGTGGAGGAATACGCAATTCACCTCGCGACCATAGAGAGTCAAATCCCGCCGGATTTCCCAACGCCCTGAGCTGCTCACGTTGGTAGGCATCCGGTCTTCAAATGGCATCTGCATCACAGCAACGCCAGGGCTGGATTCATGACGATTTCGTGGTGAGATCTACAATATAGCCTGCCTTAAGTTTGGAATCTAACTCAATATATAGGATGTATGATTCCAGTTGAGTGCTGGAGGATAATCGCTTGCTAATCACAGTTTGTAGGAGGTATGTGCGCCGGCTATGAACTAACAACACATGCTGACCATGGCGTGTGTGGCGGTGTAGCTGGTAAGTGGACACTTCTGAGATGGATGTGATGGTGATGATGGCTGACCTTGTTGTGTGTGGTGGTGTAGGAGGTAAGTGGACGCCTTTGAGATGGATGTGATGGTGATGATGGCTGACCTTGGTGTGTGTGGTGGATAGCTTATAAGTGGACACCTCTGAGATGGATGTGATGGTGATGATGGCTGACCTTGGTGTGTGTGGTGGTGTAGGAGGTAAGTGGACGCCTTTGAGATTGATGTAATGTTATTGATGACTGACCTTGGTTTGTGTGGTGGTCTAGAATGTAAGTGGACACCTCTGAGATGGATGTGATGGTGATGATGGCTGACCTTAGTGTGTGGCGGTGTAGCGAGTAAGTGGACACCTCTGAGATGGATGTGATGGTGATGATGGCTGACCTTGGTGTGTGTGGTGGTGTAGTGGGTAAGTGGACGCTATTGAGATGGATGTGATGGTGATGATGGCTGACCTTGGTGGGTGTTGTGCCTGCTAACCTGACTCTTTGTAGAGATCATGGGAGCGCGATAGTGACGACGGATTCGCCACTGGATTTCGGAGCGACCTGCTACAGAACGACTCCTATGACACTGTCTCATCCGATTTAACTGCCAGCGCTTCACACTCCCTCTTGCTGGGCAAATGGCTTCGGAATTGCGACGACAAGCACGAGGAATGCCATCGGCCGTCGGGAAAGGAGAACTTCTGGCCAAAAAGAGTTATCTATGTTGACGACCGCAACAAATCGACCCTCGTCGAAGAGCAACCTCAGGGAGAAGACTACCTTGTCCTCTCGCACTGCTGGGGCCCCCTCACAGATCAAGACAAGAAGCGTTTCTGCACTACTAGCGAGAATTACGGATCTCGAAAGCTGGGCTTCAGCTACGACGCGCTGCCGAAAACATTTCAAGACGCAATTCAGGTGACTCAAGCGCTTCAGAAAACGTACTCTGGATCGATGCTCTCTGTATCATACAGGATGGACCCGACTGCGACTGGGACAGCGAGGCTAAGGCCATGGCAGATATCTTCGCCTACGCGTACTGCACCATTGCCGCGAGCTCAGCACGTGGCTGGGGAGATGGTTTCCTGAAACCACAGTCGGATCCCCCGCATAATGGAGTACAAGGCCGTCCAAGCACACCGACTTGCGTATGTGACTTCGACAAAGACGTGGATGAAGGGCCCCTTATGAAGAGGGCCTGGGTACTACAGGAACGGGTGCTGTCCCGTCGAATCATCCATTTTACTGCGGCACACACGTATTGCGAGTGTGGGGATGGAGTGCTGTGTGAACAACTCACAAAACTGAAGCCGTAAGTCAGCAGGATTGAACATCACATGTGGCACGAAAGCTCACCTTGCTCCAGGCCATGGGGGAAGCAATATTTCATCCTCGATCCGAACTTTCCGAAGAGACTCAGCAAGTCTAGGTATGAGCGTACCCTCGATTTCGTCCAATTCCTCTTCAGAAAATATTCAAGTTCCTGCCCTTCTCAGGCTCACAGCAATACCAGTTGCAGGTAGGCGTTCACGTGCAACTGGTAACGCTAATAGCAGGAGCCATCTCAGGACCAGCCTGTCAGACATGAGCGCATCAAGGCGGTATACCAATGAAAACATACTGAAATTTTCTCATCATATGGCTAGATTCGACTCATCAACGTCTCGTAAGGAAAATACCCGGCTACAGCGGAAAAGAAACCTCACCATAGCATTCCAGCATCGCAGTCAAGGGACACATACTGTGCTTCCACCTTCCCAACCCTTACCCTTTCATATCCCCGGCCCCCCACTTTCTGCCGCATGATGAGGACGTGCTAAGTCTTCCGAGAGTCTTCCATCTTGTCGTTCTTGCCCATGCTAACAACACAGGAGCAGTCTTGGAACTGGACATGATCCGCCACATCAAACCACAAAGAGCCGACTTTCTCCGTCCCATCGAAAATAGGATGTTCTTCCTCTTCTTGTTCCATTCGACAGGTTACACGAAACTTCCTCACTTTGACTCTTTAGTGCCTGTCCATTGTTAACGAAACCAAGATCCTCGGAGCATGGGACCAAAAGACCCTGCGTCGCATCCGAGATAAAATCAACCGAGAACGGTCGCGAGGCCGTTGCCAAGCTACTGAGGTCTATGAAGTAGGGTATTGAATTCCATATGTTCCGTCATAGCGTGGCATAGGGGAGGTCTGGGGGACGGTGCGATTATGTAGCTATTTTCTCCTCGGTTCACGCGTTGTTTGTGACTGAGAATGCGGCTGTGGTTGCCGTCAACATGTCGGCGTCGGGCAAGGCCACACAGGCCGCCGTCGCCGCCGAAGCCAACCCCCTGGACAACCGTCTCGGCGCTGGGAGGCACGACCAGGAGCTTACCGAACTATTCGATGATGAATGAATCTCCACTCAAGGCAGTGGTAACTCTTCGCAGTGGAGTGACCGGGCTTTTTTCATGATGGTGCCTCAATATGCGAGGGCTTCTCTTGATGCGATACGGCAGTGCGGTGCCTCATCGAAAGAAAGGTGTTTCTCGATACAATGCCTGGCATGGTTCTCCAGGAACTTACAGAACACCAGCGATAATGCCTCAATCAACCATATCTGGAAATCTTAGCATTCTCTAATGATCTATTCTTCTACTTTTGACGCTGAACGTTGCGACGCCATCATGCCTTCCTACCACCACTCTCCTCTGCCTGAAGGCAGCGTACGCTTGCTCCGGGCTGCCACATCGAGACGAGCAATCCCGTATCGAATGCCACCTCTCTGTCTGTCACCTATTGGAACCTCAGATTAGTGGCAAGTATTGTGTCCATAAGAACTACGTCAGTGGCGAAAAGTAAATATTATAGAGCAGACATGGTTCCCAGGCCCTTCAATTCAGCAGAGGTAATAAGTTATGCATGTCACTAATACGAGTCCAGAAATACAGTAGCTACTCTGTAAAAGCAAACCAAAAAAACGTCACTTGGCCAGAGGCATGCCCTAGGATAAGTGTATGACCATGAACCGCCACACATGTTGCCCGATAGTCCGCGGGAAGCCAAAGAACGCTCTTCCCATTTCTTGTGACCCAATCGCCGACGACGAAGCGAAATCCGCTGGCGGGTTTCTGAGCTCCAGAGCTGCTTGAAGCGTCGTCGGAGTTTACGGCAATGCTCAGCAGCCCTCGGTCTGTCTCGAGGTATTGACCGTCCGGCGAGAACGCCACTTCCCTGACCAAACCGCCATGGCCCTCAAGCGTCGTCCGGTGCGCGCCCGTCGCCATATCCCAGAGCCGGA